AGAGTCAGACAGACCTGGTTTCAGGTCTTAGCTTTGTCCTTATTTACTACTTAATCTTGTGCAAGTTGCTTAACTTTTACATATCTCAGTTTTATCAAGGATAATATGGGGTTTTAATCTCTGTTTCGTAATGTTCATCTTAAGTCACATAATGGAGCTGCAAAGAGGAGCCACTCCCAAGATTGGCCCCATGAATCATGATACTCTGAACAACATGAAAAAAGTCACTCTTGGTAACTGAATTCAAGCAGTTTCATTTTGCTGTATGAGAGTTGCAGAAAGAACTTTTTCTTTCTTTTAGAAAGAAAAAGAAAATACTATTTTACTCAAGGAAAGCTCAGAAGTCACTGTTAACCAGAATGCAGATGTTCTAAGCTATAAAAGCATTCCATTTGGTAATAATTGTAGGATATGATTTAATCAGTAGTATATATGTTTGGAATTTTGTTCTTTTGAGACATTTTGAGAAAAGTATTTCCTTTCTCTTTTGCTTATGTTATATACTGTGCTTTTATAGTGATTTTGTTATAGTTTGTTAGGTTGTTAGCAGTTTATTGTGGGTAATGAGAAAATTAGAATAGCATTATATAAAGCCATAGTATAAATTACTATTTGTTATTTAATATTTTAGATCTTATTCTACTTAATTATTTAAAACAATATTTATATATAGCTTAAAGTCCTAATTGGGAATTTTCCTTAGTTCATTGCATTATTATTATTATTATTATTTTTGTCTAGGTTGGATGTGTCATTTATTTTTATGTCTGATATTCCTTTTGTTCCTCTTTTTTGAATCTTTGTTTTTCTGTGTTAGGCTTGCATAGTTTTTTATTTTTTTTTATTTCACTGATGCTTCATATGAGCAGTTTTACCTTCTAGGAACTCTGATAATGCAACTCATTCGTCTTTCCTTCTGAGCTGTAATCCATATTTCATCCTATGCACATTTTATTGTAGATGCCTTGGGTGATTGGAATGCAGGCAGGGCAGACAGAACACAGCTGCTGCTCTATCCAACACTGGTTGGAGATGTAGGCTCTGTCCACCTGTTTTGCTAACTGTCCTACATCAGAGCTTATTCTTTCCAGGATTGAATGTATGTGTGTATGTGTGTGTCTGTGAGTGAGTAAGCTATAAAGGTATACCCTGGTCTTTGCTTGGTTCTCCCAGTCCCTTCTAGGGCACTGAAAAAAAAATCCTACTGTCATTTTCTCCATTTTTGATAAGATGGGCCCATTACAGGGGGAGTTTAGTATTCAGGAAAAAAAAAAAATCAACTTTTTTTCTGGGTTGTTTTCTAATCCTTCAGTTTAGTTTTCTTCAAATCGGAGATTTTGGTTAGATTCCTCAGGCTTTGTCAGGTGTCTCTTCTTCCCAGAGTCAATTTTTCAGAAGTAGAGACAGAACTGAAATCTGTACTAAGCCACACTCTCTCCTGGGGTCTCTTAATTTGTTTATAAAATTTCAAAGTTTTAAAAATAGTATTTTAGACCTTTTCCTAGTTAATTTTTACAGTGATCTTTTTCTAAAATGCATTTTACATTGGGAAGAAATTCTGTGATTTTTTCATTCTGCAATGCTTACCCATGAGTTACAGTTTGACATATAGAAACAAATAAGGACGTTTATATATAGCTAGATAGATAAAGGAAACAAATATTCTATGAGAAGTTAGGTAAATTGAAGTGAAACTGTATTATGAAACAGCATACAACCATCAAAACCATATTTAAGGAGATTTTAAAAGTAACATAGGAAATGCTGTGTTAAATCGTGAAATGTTCAAGTAATACATACAGAGGAGAGTAACCTTAACTATGTAAAGAATACAGAGTTTATAGTTCAAGAAGCCTGACTAAACATATGCGTTTACCTCTCCTTCATCCAAAAATCCCATTGAAATGACAGAAGGAAATATAACAATAGCAATAAATCACAAGCAATGTGGCAATGATATGTAGCCAGGAAAAGAGCCTCTTGCATTTCAAACCAGAATAACATTTTTAGAACTGTTGAAAACACATGAAATTAGACGACCACAAAGCCCATTGGAATTGCTGAATGACCTTGCCTATCACCATCAGACTAATTGTGCAAATGTAGTTTTTATTCAAAACTTCCCTTTTCAAGAATTTACGGTAGCTCCCTATATACCCTTCCATCAAATATTAGCTCCTCTGCCTGACATTTAAAGTCTTCTAGGGCATGGTTCAACCTCCATTCAATTACATTATCCTTTTCTTCTCAGTGTGAATCCTCAGCTATAATTACTTGCTATTCTGTTTGCTTTCCCACCCCTTCCTAACTAGTGCCTTTCATCTTTGGGCCTCCTGAATCTGCTCATGTTATTCCCTCAGCCAGAAACACAGCTTTCCCTCCTACACCCACTGTCATATAAATTTTTCTTACTTTTGGGGAATAAAGAATAAAGTTTACTCTGACTTTTGGAATCTCCAAGTAATTAATTCTATTCTGTTAATTCATACTGATTGGGACACAGTTGTTAACATATATTTAGTATATATTAAATACATTAAAAAAATTACCTGGCATTTAAATGTGTAGTATATATTAAATACATTTTTTTAAAAAATTACCTGGCATTTAAATGTGAAGTCTCTTGAGGACTTCTGCTTCCTTGCAAATCTCATGATACGTACCTCCAGGCCATGGACACAGATGTTCAGTAAATTCTAAGTTCTTTATAATACTCTGGCCATATCATGCTAGAAGTCATCTCTGGGCTTTGATTCTTGCCATTTTCTTTGCATAGAGAACCTTCTTCTGCCTTAACTTTCTTAATTAAATACCATCTTTCCTTATCCAGGAACCTGCTTGACTCTCAGGTACTCTGTGCTCCTTCTGTTTTATGCATTTTCCTCAAACAGAGCATAGATAACACTATAATTTTTTGCATCTATTTCTCTTTTCCACTAGGACATGTGTGTTGGGTAGAATTCTCAGACGCTAGCAAGATCCCTACCCCCTTGTGTATATTCATCTCCTCCGGAGTTCTGGGAATATGATGGGTTATTGCTCATAAGATTAGGTTACTAATAATTCTGCTTTGAGTTAATTAAGAAGGAGTTTACTTGAGTGGTCCTGATTCATTAGGCAAATTCTTTTTTTGAGACAGAGTCTCGCTCTGTCGCCCAGGCTGGAGTGCGGTGGCGTGATCTCGGCTCACTGCAAGCTCTGCCTCCCGGGTTCACGCCATTCTCCTGCCTCAGCCTCCCGAGTAGCTGGGACTACAGGCGCCCGCCACCACGCCCGGCTAATTTTTTTGTATTTTTCAGTAGAGAAGGGGTTTCACCATGTTAGCCAGGATGGTCTCGATCTCCTGATCTCGTGATCCACCCGCCTCGGCCTCCCAAAGTGCTGGGATTACAGGCGTGAGCCACCGCGCCCACCCAGGCAAATTCTTAACAGAGACAGAGCCCTTCCTGAAGTCAGAGATTTGAAAGTTGAAAGTGAGAGCCCCTCCAGGCAAGTCACAGGACAAGGACCTCAGAGTTGCCTCTAGGAGCTTGAAATAGCCCCTGGCTGATATCTGGCAAGACAGTGGGACCTCAGTCCTACAACCACAAGGAATTGAATTCTGGCACCAATCTGGTGAGATTATAAGCAGATGTTGTCCCTTGTAAAGCCTCCAAATGAGGGTGTAGCAGGCCGGCACTTTGATCTCAGCCTTGGGAGATCTTGAGTGGAAGAGCAAGCAAAACATGCAGGAACGCTGACCCTCTCAAACAGTAAGATAATGAATTAATTATTTTTTTTCAAGCTGCTAAGTTTGTGGTGACTTGTTAAACCACAATAGAAAAAAATGAATGTGAGTGTTGCACTTTGGATTTCTTGAGAAGCAGATTCTGAAATGGCGATAAGCATCCAGGAAGTTTACTGGGGAAGCTCTTGGAATTAGGCCTTGGAGACAGTGTAGGAAGCAGGGCTGAGTGGAGAGAGAAGTTGGGCTTTGTTGCAGCCACATGATGATCTCAATCTATTCCATCAGGACCTCTGAACTGCAATGGTCCTTAAGAGTTGACTGGAGTTAGATCAAGGAAACCCAGGCTTTATGTTCTCATTGTGGCCAATGGATGCAGGCTGCAACCAGGAAGGAGACATGGTCTTGGGCAAAACAACTTTCTTTGACCAAATGCAATTTCTAGATTGGGTCAAAACCTGAAGTTAACTGGGAATGTTTCCTGGATGGTACTGCCCAGCATTCACTGCAATGAGCTTCTTGAGTGTATACCATCATTTCTGTATCACCCTCTGCTAGCATAGTGCTGAGCACAAAGAGTCTGCAATACAGCAGCACCTTTATCCAAAGTTTTGCTTTCTATAGTTTTGGTTACCCGTGGTTAACCATGATCTGAAAATATTAAATGAAAAATTTCAGAAATAAATGACTCATAAGTTTTAAATTGCTTGCTGTGCTAAGTAGCATGGTAAAATTTCACAATGTCCCCACGCCATCATGAGTCATGTTTTTGTCCAGCATATCCACAGTATACACTCTCTGCCCATCACTAAGTAGTTCTCTCAGTTATGAGATACAGAAAACACAGTATACATAGATTTGATACTATCTGGTGTTTCAGGCATCTACTGGGGTTCCTGGAACACATCTCCTACAGATAACAAGGGACTTCTGTACGTGCTTTGATAAACTCACCTGGTTAAAACACCTTTTCTTTATTAATAACATATACGATATACAACAGCAGTATTTGTTTTATGGTCCTAGTTACTAGGCTTTTATTGAACAATTATCAAGCCTTTATGATGTACCTGTCCTCTTGCAGGTAGTTAAAATGAGACAGTGTACAAAATAGACAAAAATCTTGGCCCTCATAGGTAAGCAAAAACAATACAAAAATAAACTATATGCACATACACACACATGCTCATATGCATAGGTACACACATATATGTGTGCATATATATATTATATATATATATATATATATATATACATAAAATTTGTTAGAAGGTGATTCATGCAGTGAGAAAAAGAAAACATAGGTCTCAGTAAGGGGTATTAGATCATTGGTGTGGGACTTGAGGAACAGGTTGTGATTTTAAACAAGATGGTACACATGAATGACATTTAGCAGATGGCATTTGAGCAAACACTTGCTCAAAGGGAGATAGCCATTATAGCTGATGGAACAAGCAACACCAAAGTCATAAGGAAGAATTGTACTCGTGTGTTTGAAGACATCAAGGAATCCAGTGTGACAGACATAGCAAGTGAGGGGAGGGTATGAGAGGAATGGGGTGGGAGGCACAGTGGGAAGCCAGGGCATTTAAGATATTGAGGACTTTGGGCTTCATGCAGCATAACTGAGTGTATTTATAAGAGAATTCTCATTGAATGTTCCCATTACACCATGCACTGAGGTAAGCACTTTTTTTATATTTCTCTGTGATTTTTTTTCGTTAGTCTTCATAAGAACCCTATGTATAAAATAGTATTATTAATGTCTATATTTTATTAACAAGCATGTTTAGTCCTAAAGAAGTCGATGAACTCACCCAAGGTCACATAGATGGTAAACGATGAGAACTGTATCTCGGCTTTCTGACACGTGTCTGTTTGGTCATAGCATTATCTTGAGTCCAAGTTGAATGGCTTCTATTTGATTTTGTAATGTCAAGTTACCTGAAATGATGTAGACATGCAATTCAAACTTCCACTGCTGTGCAAAGACTTAATTCTTGCTATGGTCTGAATGTTTCCATTCCACTCAAATTAATGTTATACTGCTGACCCCCAAAGTTATGGTATTAGGAGCTGGGGAATGTGGGGAGGTGATGAAGTCACTGGGCAGAGTCATCATGTGTAAGATTAGTGCCCTTTTAAAAGAGGCCTAAAAAAGACTCCTGCTCACCTCTTTCACCATGTGAGGGCACAGCAAGAAGGTGCAATCAGTGAACCAGAAAGTGAGCACTCATGAGGCATAGAATCTGCCAGTGCCTTGATCTGGGACTTCCCAGCATCCAGGGCTGTATGAAAGTTCTGTGGTCTGTAAGCCATCCAGTTTATGGTATTTTGTTATAGCAGCCCAAATGCTATATGGACTTAGCCTCTATGGACTAAGATAATTGGTAAGAGGTCTTCACACTTTCTCAGCTACCAGAAAGTACATTTGAATTCAACTGAGAAAATCTATTTAGTCATGGTTTTGCCACGTTACCCCCACCCAACAAACATTTTTTATGTTTTCGTGTTGCAAGTTGGGTTCTCGGAGAGGCCTTTGGGGTCAATCCCTGTGAAAAGGAGGGAAGAGAAGGGGGAATAGGCAGAAGAGGAGTGAGCTGTGATGGAGGCCAACTGATGGCCTCAGCTGATCTCACCAGAAGCTTGGCAATCTGGTGGCTCTCAGCAAAACCTTATTCCCTTACATCAATCCATCACTGGTTGTGGGCCTCTGAAGGAGTATTGAGGCACAACACCTTACAGCATCCACCACTATCTATAGCATCAAAATGCTTTCTGATTACTTGAGTTGCCCTGGGTGCTACAAGGGAAATACAAGCAGACTCTAAGTGTGGTTTCACTGATGTTGAGATAGCTTCCTTTCATGGAAAAAGAGGCAAAAACCTTGACATTTACCCTATTTCCCCTTTTGGTGTACAGAAATGCATTTGGTGTGGATCTATAAATTTAAAGCTAATAAGATTTCTATTCTAATGCTGCTATAACTGATAATCTAAAAAGATTCTCGAATGATTTTTGTGGTGAGGATAACCTAGATTTGTGAAGCTCCACATATCGGTTTGTGAGTGTGTATGTGTTTTAAAGCTATACTAGAAATAGAGAAGAGATACCATAAGGAAATGTATCACGTTTCCCAATGTTTCTTTCTCATGCATGCTCACTTCTTCCTTTTGCTTTCATCGTCGCTGAGGGTTATTTGCTGGCGGGACAATAGTCCCCATATCAAAGGGCTTGGTCGGTCAACTTGCCAAGCTAAGCTGCTGCTGACAGATGAGTGATGGAAAGATGTACTGTTGTATCTGTCAGCTTTGATGAGAAAAAAATGGAGCTTAGCTTAGAATCACTCTCATTTCCAGATTTTTATTTTTATTGTTATTTTTTTTCCTGAAAAGAGGAGGGATTTTTTTTCTGCATTATGTAGGTCTCTTTTTCAATGCTCCCAGGTAAACCAGTCTCAAAGCACAAAGACTGAAATTCCTCTACGTTCCACAGTTTGTAGGCAAAGAATTTAGAATGTGTCTCATCACCACTTTATTCTTCTCATCACCTAGAAAAGTGACTAGCAGAATCCCCACTTGGTTTATAATAAAAGAAAGCAACAATTTCATCTATGAATTAGCATACTAGTATGAATGTGCACTCTTGAAAATATATGTGCTATTTTGTATAGTCTTGTTTCCTGAGAGAGCAGTGACTTGCATTTTTATATAAACACGCTGAATGTTACGTGTGTTTAGAAAAATTTAGCATACATATTTCCAGAATACTGAAAATCTGACAAACCCTTGTGCCCTCCGGTCGTTACCCAACGTTCCTTCTCTCAGAACTGCCTATTAAAAATCCTGCAGATTGTCTCCCATCCCTTATTAAATGTGCAGGAAATAAACCTAACTGCTAAGTGTATGAAGGTCTTGAAAACCATACTCTGCTGGCCATTGTCATTGACATTAAACTCCCTAAACTATTTGAAAACAAGGACATTCAAGTTAACCTTACTTCATTATTTATCACTTCAGAAGGCAACATGGATTCTCCAATCTCTGAGATTTTTAGGAGATAAGAGCTTCCAGAACCTTATCACTCAATCATAGAATCAAAGAATGTGCTCAGCTAAGACACATTGATTGACAAACCCTTTATGCACATGAGTGACAATGTCAGCTTTCAGGAAGCAGAGAAAAGATGAAGAAAAACAAAATCTCTAGATGACTCACAATTAACTAGGAAAAATTTTCTGGACATACAGAGTTCATAGGTACCTTGGGAGGAGTTTCTAATGTTTGCCCGTTAATTAAAGCATTCATTTATTTAATAATCACACATTTATTGAATGCCTATGGGGCTCCAGGATTTAAAGATACAGAGCTTAAAAACTCAGACCTTGCCTCTGCTATAGGGATTTACAGAAAAAGAAATGAATTTATAATGCAATAGAACGAAGGCATCCCTGGAAGTATGCTCAGGAATATGGAAGGATATGGGCTGGAAACCAAACCCAAATTAGCAGACATGGGGGAAGATGTTTTGGTTTTTCTCCACGAATTCCACATGACTTCAAATAAGCTTGAAATATGAGTATGAATAAGCCAGGAGGCCCAGGAACAGGGATTGGTGAAGTGGTAGTGATGGTGGGTTGGGGTTACATAAACGAGAGAAAGGACAGCACATTCGGAGCCACCAAGGGGCAGGATTGAGAAACTGCAAGCAATTCAAGATGGCGGGAATAGAACTGATGAGGCTAGAAATAAAGAGGTTGATCTACAGGAGGAAGACAAGGGCCAGATGGAGGCCTTATAAGCCCTGCTGAGGAATTTGAACTTTATCATGAAGGCAACAGGGACCCACTGAAGGGTAAGTAAGGAAATCCTATGGACATTTCTGCTTTAGAGCTGGGAGTTACACACAGGGGTTTTAAATCCATTAGGGCCATGACATTAGATATCCAGATCGCTATATTTTCTTAATAAAATAGAATCAATTATAATAAAAAGGAAATCTTAAAAGGCGCTGCAATTAGTAAGAGTAATTAATTTGTTTTGTAAAATGTGTGCAGGAGGTCACAAAGTAAGTTTTTGTTACTGAGGGTGTGGTCAAAATAAATTGAGAAGCAGTATTTTAGAAAGATCTTTCAGGCAGCTGAAAGCAGGGAGACTAGTTAAAAGATTATTCCTAGAACCGTATTATACAAGAGGAGAGAAGTGGGTCCTGCAGAATCATGGGAAGATGGGAAGAAGTGTCATTTCATTCCTGTGATGTCTCTGAGGTGAGTAAAACCTCCAGACTCTGCATTTCATGGATTGCAACATGAGACAGGGATGCCTGTGACCTCCCAAACGAAGGGCTTCCACCATGTTTGCAGTGCTGCTTTGCTCTTCCCTCCACCTGAGATGATAGTGCCCCATTTCTACATGAAAGATCCATTATTCAAAGGACAGTTAAAAATGCTGCTTTTTCCATGAAATTCCCTCAGATCTCCCTATCTAGAAATAACCTAGCATCAATCCTTTCTTCCACTGTATTACAGTCATTTGTGTAGCATGCCCCCTAAATCCCTTCTTGCTGCATCACCCTGTTGAATGGTCTTCAGAATAATCAACACTATTTGAAAAGTGCTTACAAGTGTCTTTGCATTTCTTCCTTCTCTTTCCTCTTCCAGAATGTAAGACACTTGAGGGCAGGAATGGAACTGTCTTCTTCACTATTTCAAGGGCTAGGAAGAGGAGTGACATTGAGAAGAGACTGAATAAAAAGTTGTTAAATGAAGGAATGGATTTAAAAGCACCCTGATCTGCAGTGTACCTGAAACAGCATATACTTCATATCACAACTGCAGTATCTTCATCCTTGCTCATGTTTTTTTTCCACTGCACTAAAATGCTTCTTTAAATAGAAGAATCAAAATAGTAAGATTCAATGATAAGCAGATACTATTTTGAAATTTTATTTTGATTAGAAATGGATTGCAGTAATATTTTTACTTTCTGTGGAATGGTTATGTACATAATAAATACTCTGCCTGCAAAACATCGATGTCTTTGATTTTGTGGCTTAGAAAGTTTTTCAAATAAAAATTCAATCTGCCATTGTTTGTGTGAGTTGGGGAAAGAGGGCCCCACACATTTTGGAGCTTCCCAAATGGGCATGTTGGCAATGATTCCATGAGTCTTATCCCTGAAGTATTTGGGAAGGTCTCCAGCCTCCTACCCACTTATGTTTTTCCTTGTTTATTTTTACAGAGGAAGCCAAAATCAAGTTGAGGATATTTAATTATACGCTGTGACTTTCTTTAGAATTAAAATAATCAGTGATACATTACCATTTTGCCAAACATCTTGTGATGCTCTTGTTTTTAAGGCTGACAACAAGTTTTAATTTAAAATGCAAACAAACCTGCTGCTTACCCCTTTGTGCTCTACCTGTTGAGAGTCTTTGGAAACCTGACATTGGAAGGCTTGTGCTACCTTTCATCTGGTTCAACAAGGCAGTCGCAACGGAAAGAAAACCCCAGGGAGTCAGACTCGTGATACACTCAGGCTTTTTTAGCATTAAGATACAAGTATCTAGGGTGTGATGTCCATGCTAATGGTTGATGGAAGAATTTAAATTATTGCCATAACCTGACCATGCACAATTGTCTAACTCTCACTTTGGATTGATTACTTATATGTGATGTTGTCACGTGGTTAAGAAAGGCAAAAAAAAAAAAAATTACTGAAATCAAAATACCTGGATTGTGATTACTGTTCTGCTATAAATTAGTTGTGTAATAATTAGAGGATTCTAAAACAAAGCTATAACAACAACAACAACAAATATAGGACAAATGTAGTTGAATTCAGGGAATTACAGACAAATTTAAAATTAAATTCTACTTTCAGCACTTACCATTTTTGTTAGATTGGTCAAGGTTCTGCACCTCTCAGAGCCTCTGTGTTTTCATTTGTGAAAACTGGTGCATCAGGAGCTTGCCAAAATTCACTGAGTTGTGTTATTGAAATGCCTAGGAAAAATGCTGGGGATATCATTTTTTGTGTAAGTAAACTCAGGTGAACTGAAGCGCTGCTGGAGCTGTTTTGGGAGAAAGTGACCAAGATCCAGAAGAGGTGGGAAAAGAGTCTTGAACAAAGAATACTTGGAGGATGAAATTCAGTAATTCAAACTTAAAATCATTCAGACATAAAGCTGTTGGTACTTTATTCTGAGGAATGTGGCTGTGAAACCTGAGTCGCATGGTATGCAGATACAACTTCTGTCTTTTTTCTGTAAATATTTAAGACCAAATAGTGCCAAGGAAAAGAACCCCCTCCCTCGGATTATCCTCCTTATGGAGTAATAAAGTCCTCTTCCCTGTAGTGTAGAAATCTGTAGCTAATCAAATCATTAGGGTGTATGCACTGGTCTTGTATAAAAAATATAATCCTGCTAAAATTTCTGTGTAAAGGAAACCATACCTTCTCTACTTTGGAATGCTGACCCCATTCCTTTGGAGCTGATGTTTCTGGGTGTCCAGCCTCAAACTTTGCCTCAAAGAAACTCTATACTTAATCACATTTTCTGAATCTAATTATTTAAAGTTGACAGGAGGAACTGGGAAGTTCACAATGGAAAAGAGAAGGAAGCATATTAAAAAGAGAAGTGGGTTGAGAGTTGGAAATATGATTTATCCACTCAGCACTGCCACTAAATATGTATGCCTTGGGAGGCTGGTGACTGTCCTATTCTGGACCAATTTTTCTTGGTTTAAAAAATGAGAAAGTCGAAGTGGATGACCTTTGAAGTCTCTCACTGCTCTCACAATCATTTGAGTCTAAGGATAAACCAAGCAGCTACTTGCAATTTTTTTAAAGTATTAATATATGGTAGGAGGAATAGACTTATTTAGTGCTGCTATGGAAGGCAGCACAAAATTATGTTATTTTATAATGCTACCTGAGAAAAGCAAGGTACAAGTTGTATATATAAGTACATTCTTGTTTTTTCTTTTCTTTTCTTTTCTTTTTCTTTTTTTTTTTTTTTTAACATTGTTTCACTCTTGTTGCCCAGGCTGGCATTCAATGGTGCAATCTTGGCTCACCACAACCTCCATCTCCCAGGTTCAAGCAATTATCTGGCCTCAGCCTCCTGAGCAGCTGGGATTACAGACATGCGCCACCATGCCCAGCTAATTTTTTGTATTTTTAGTAGAGATGGGGTTTCTCCATGTTGGTCAGGCTGGTCTCAAACTCGCAACCTCAGGTAATCCACCTGCCTCGGCCTCTCAAAGTGCTGGGATTATAGGCATGAGCCACCGCACTGGGCCTTACTCCAACTGTTTTAAATGTGCTTACAAATACTTGAATAGAAGGGTCTATATATTAAAATACTCATTTTCAAAGTGGGCAAATTTTTACAGGCAAATATTTATTATTTTATCTACATTTTTCTTTATTTTCAGATGTTCTCAAGTGAGCATGTCTGCTTCTATAATATAAAAGTTATTAAAATAGAAAAACAATAAATTATATTTTGAAAACCAAGAAAATAGTTGATATTCAACTGTCTGGATATCTGGATTGTTATCAAATCCATGGGTTTTGTGCTGTAGGTAGGAATACAGAACTGTCATGCACAATTCCTAATTAACAATCTTTTTATTTTGCAAGCATCTTTTGTCCTTCATCCTCATCCAGTATCTAGCATCACAGGCTACTGCAGGAAAGCTGAGGCCCCATGCACAATGAAACCACATAAACTGAGCTCAGAGAAACGCAGCTTGATGAAATAAAGTAGTTGAAACGGAAAAACAGTTCCCTATATTCTTCCTGATTCCTTCAGGTTACCTGCTCCAACTATGGCTAAAGTCCTGGAGAGTTTTGATTGCCAGTCACTTCTTGATCATTTCTTTGAGTCTCTATTCTTTCCTGGTTTAAGCCTTTAACCCTATCCTTCCAGAGCTCCTGGCAGGAAAGGGGCTAACTAAGGTCCTAATGATTATAATACAACAAAACTCTGGTGTTGGCTCCAGGAAGGGAAAGAACCATTCAACATCAATGTGCTATAATCCAAAGAAAGGATTTGGTTTTATTGTGAGCAGGTGACTCACGTCAGGTGCCTGCAAAAAGCTAGAAAAAGGCAACTTTGTGAAAGTCATCAAGCTGTTAATCTAGTTTAATCTCCTCAACCAGCAAACACTGGAAAAGAGCATACAAAATTCCAGGCTCAGTGCTGGGCATTAGGGTAGCATAAAGGTAAAGAAATCTCAAGGTACTCATCAGGGATGGCAGCAAGCAGAGATGTGAAGAATCAGTTACGATGCTGAGCCGTGGGCACACCACTCCATGTTATACGCAGTTAGAATGCAATGTGTATGTGAATGTGTCTTCCGACTTAGGCAGACATGAACAATGAGAAAAGGTGTTTTAATACTGAATGAGAATTTACTGAAAAATATGAGAAAAAGAAAAAAGAGATATTTAGGTGGATGCAAGTGCCCCTATGGAGCCTCAGACATATGAATAGGTATATGCAGAGGGAGATTAATTGCTTACTTTCATTAATATTTAGTGGGAGCCTATGCATATTAGAAACTATACCAGGAACTGTTTTAGGCCATGAGAATCCCAAGCTGAGCTTATATTGTGTGAGGAAGGGAGAAAATAAACCTATTAACAAATAAAAGTATAATTCCTACTCTGCCCTCAAGGAGGTGGAGATTATCTCCCCACCCCTAAGTGTGGGTAGCACATAGTACCTTTCTTTCAAAGAACACAGCGTGGAAAGGAGTTGGAGGAGAACAACTTTCCGGTGGAGAAACATGACAAACTTTTCCTCCACCAGGCCATGAAGGTCAACATCAACAGTCATAAATCATGTGCGTAACATTTACCTTTGATATACTGCGATGAAAAGGGCACTTCGCCTCTGCAGTCTTTCTCCCCAGTACACATAACTCTAGTCTAATCATGAGAAAAAATCGGACAAATTTCAACAGAGAAAAATTTTATAGAATACATGACCAATGCTCCTGAAAACATTAAAAGTCATCAAAAAGCAGTAACGTGTGAGGAATTAGCCCAGCAGAGAGGAGACCAAGGAGACATGACAGCTGAATGTAATGTGCTGTCCTGGATGGGATTCTGGAAGGGAAAAAGGACCCTAAGTAAAAACTAAGGAAATGGGAATAAAGTATGGACTTTAGTTAATCATAATGCATTGATATTTTTTCATTCATTGTGACGTATGTACCCCTAATGTAAGTTGTTAATAATAGGGGAAACTGAGTGTATACATTATGGACTCTATACCATCTTCATAATTTTTCTGTGAATCTAAACCATTTTCTAAAAATGTATAATACAAAGTCAGTTGATGATAAATGCTATGAAACATAGTAAGGCAAGGAATGGGGTCAGGAAGGGGCTAGGAAGTGTGGGGTCTTTTTGGAAAAGGCCCTAAGGGAGGCCTCCATGAGCAGGTGTATTTGAAAGAGGCCTGAGTGAAGAGGGAGAACGCGTGCCAGCACATAGGAATGCAGATCCTAAGCCCACAAGGCCGAGACACGCTTGTTGTGTTTGAAGGACAGCATGCATGCAAGCATGCATAGAGCGCAGTGAGCTAGCGGGAGTATGATGAGGTTAGAAAGGAAGCTGAGGCTAGATTATGTAAAACTTTGGGGGCCATAGTAGAGGATTTGGATTTTACTTGGAGTAAGATTGGACAGTGTTGCATGATTCACCTTGTGTATTCCTAAGATTTTCCTGGTTGTTGCCTGGACTATAGATAGTAGATGGCAGAGCAGAAACAGGTGAACACCTAGTAACCTATTGCAGTGGACTAGTTAAATGGTGATGGCTACCTGGGCCAGGATGGCAGTGGTGGCATTGGTGAGTAGTAGTCAGGTCTTGGATGTGTTTTGAAGAAACATGGGCATGCTGATGCATGAGAATCAGGGAAAAAGAAAAAATTAAGGATGTTTTAAAATTCTTTGGGAAATTGGGTGGATGATTGATAGGTGGTCTGGGTCCATAAACCGAATGAGAA